TCAGAGAGCAGAACACAAACAATACGTATTCAGAGATGGGCATGAATTTTCAAGAGCAATATGATTAACATTTTGGTCTTGGTCTTATTACCTTTACTACAATTTTCAGCTGAATGTATTCAAAGCCATCTCTCATGATTAGCCACATGGGTAGATGCAATGCTAACCTCAAGCTTTTACTGAAGTCCACAGTATTCACCCACCTAAAGAAATTTTCTTTTTTACATTCTGAAATTTCAGCATCAGATTAGAGTTGACTGATTAAGTTTCCTACTTTATCCTTATGGCTTTGAAAACGCCTCAAGTGATTTGTGTACACAATTTTAGGACAAATAAGAGCTTTGCCACATTAGATATTCTTTTGTTCAAATGCCATTTGGAAGTCACAATGGCCAGCATAAAAGCTGTGTCCTATGGAAGCTAAAGCTGGGAAGGCAGGCTTGATAATTGCAAACAGACTCTCGTCAGAGTCTCAAAAAGTGCATTTCTGCATGGGAATAAGCAAGAGTTTGGTTCATAAGCCTGGAATTTTTGGAATAGGGTGTCTGAAGTTGTTGAGTTTTACACGTTTCGAAGGCTGCACGGGCGTTTTGCTGCTGCTGCTGCTCCAGGATTCCAGTGCTGAATTAGACTCAGCAGGACAATAGAAGCATTTCTTTTACTAAGATGCAGACAAGCTTAGGAAACTTCTCCCAGGGTCACCACCCCCCCAAACCCACCCTCTACACACAGATTTCCCTTCCCAGCCCTGTGAAGAGAGGGGTTTTTGGAAGCAACACATTCGGTTTTCACACCATTTTTATACACATATCTTCAGATTCAGGCCACTCAAATTACTGGGAGCAGAGAAGGGGGTTAGTTAAAAAAAAAAATCCTTGATGTACCTGACTTTTCAGAAAAAAAGTCAAAAATCTGCAACACAAGCACTACAGCCTTGGCAGAGCTTCAAATACCTCAGATTTTTACAAAGCCCTTTATCCCTTTGATGGCATATTTGATAACAGTTTTATCTCATTTCAGTTCAGAAAAAAAAAAAAGAAAGAGAAAGAAAGGAAGGACTTGTACTTCCAACAGAGAATACTTTTGTTAACTCTGCTATTGTACTTTGTAATACTATCTCCTTAAAAACGGAGACTTAATTTCTCCCTTGTGCCTCTTCAGCCCTCGATATTCCAGAAGTCACAACTGACAGAGGAGGCAGGTAGGAGGCAGCACAGGACACTTCAAGAACACATGGCTGCCTGCAGCACTTGGCGGCAGGACTACAAAGTGGGTGTCTACACCACAACTGGAGCAGGAATGCTTTTGGGGCGGGCTTTCCCACCCCCCACCCCCCCAAAAAAAAAAGTCTAGGCTCTCCCAGCAACCAGCCCTTATCCTAGGAAGAGCCAAGCTTTGGAGGGATTGGAGAGTCCACCTCGGCAGCAGGGATAGTGGCAGAGGATAGGAAACAAGATTCACCCCTCCCCTGGTGCAGGGAAGGGTCCTCCTCCCCTCGCAAAAATGACCTTAGGCATCTAGGTTAGGATGACTGGATTTACAAAACTGCTGAGCATCAACATATCCCAAGGCAGTCGGTGGGAAACTGTCTGCTCAGCGCCTTTGGAGAAGGGGTGTGTGGGGGGAAACAGTTTGGTTTCCTAGGTGATCTCTAAATATCAAAAGTTTTAGGAGTAGAAATTTGGGAGCTTTCAGCGTTTGCACTGCAGAGACACCTCAAAAGCCAGACTGCTGCTGTGCACAGGACCCCCCCTTGATCAGTCACCCTCAGTTTTTGCTCGCCTGCTGGGCACAAAAACAGGGCACCTCCTGCCATCCCAGGCCATGGCACTCTTCCACGGCCACAAATCCCATGTCCCCAGAGCCTGCATGTGTGTCTCTGTCCCAGTTGATGGCCATTTTGGAAAGACAGTCCTCGCTTTCTGGGCAGGGAGGTGAGGGCTCCTCTGCAGAGCTGACCATCAGAGATTCAGCCCTCCTGAGCACCCGAAAGAAACAGGCAGCATTGATGTCTAAGTGAGCGTTCCTTCCACAGCCAAAACCAAAGCAGGATCGCTGGAGAAGGACTGGGTCACCCATCTCTCTGCTCTACAGGGCTGACCAGCGTTTACTAGAGTGGACAACACTGGAAAAGTGCCCAGCAAAGAGTCCCACCTCCTTGAGCCACTGAGTTTTGCACACAACTAGAAGGAAGCAGAATCCATGGACCACAGAGGCAGGTAGCCAGGAAAGGTGTGCTGTGGACCAAAAGCTAAGGCCAGGTTTTTCTCAGTCTTTACCTCCTAGAGTCTGCAAGTCCCTCAAAGCACAGCCAGCTTCCCAGGGAAGCTGGCAACTACTTCACCAAGGGCAGCTACAGCAGCTCCCATCCACACCGAGCAGCGCAGGGAGATTTCCCCTTGGGAGAAGCAGGAAGCCTTCCCAAAGACGCTCCAGGGAAGGAGGCCAGCTATGACACACACTTTTCACACGGGATCCCTCTACAGCCCCTAACCCACTGCTCTTATGGCTTAAGCCCAAGACTTTACTGGTTACGAAAAAAAAAAAAAGGAGAGAAAAAATGAACTTCTGACCTTCTAAGTCTCAAGAGACTTATTCATGCTGTAAAGTGCAGAGATACTGGGTTTGCTTCCCTGACCCATTTAGATCCCCCTCGCTGCACATCTGACTTTCAAATTTAACAGGCTGTGCATTGTGAGCCCCGGGGAACAAAAACAAAAACACCACTACATTTAACTCATTTCTGTGCTACGGATTCCCGACGCTCTTGCCAAGACGCCTTCTCCCTCCCCAATCCCGGTCCCTCTTCCCCTGGCACAAGGAGTTAGAGCTCGGCACACTAAGGACATCTCAAAGACCACCGTCCAACAGAGGCAGAGCCAGAGCAGGCCACACAACTCACCGGCCAGGCGAAGCTGAAAGGGATAACGATCCGGTTCTTTTCATTATTCCGGTTGTACTTTAAATTGAAGGTATTCCCTCCGATGACGGGAGTGGATTTGGATCCGAAGCTGCAAGGACCGCCAGCAGTGACCCGCGATTGATACTCCTTCAGGCAAACTTTAAAGTAGGTGTCACACTCATCTCTGGTGCATTTTTTATCTCCTGGGTTTCGGGTGCCATCGCAGCAATTTCCATTTTGCAGTTCACCATTCACATTTTGCATGGATAAGATCTCCAACTCGAACTGTCCCGACGCTAAAGTCACCTGTTAATCCCAAGAAACAACCGGAGGGAAAAAAAAAGCAAAAAAAAAAAAAAAAAACCAAACAAAAAAAAAAGAGAGAAACAAGAAACAGACAGTTACCTCATTTTTTCTCCAGACTCAATCTACAACAATTCTACAGATAGGAGAAAGTAATTTTAAGCGTGCTTTCAAGAACCACACACATAACATTAAAAATAAAACAAAGCCAACCACTCCAAGCTTTTCCCTATCAGAAGGGCTCATAAATCATCCCAACTAAATAACGCCATTAACGCTAAAAAAGAACCTCAAGTGCCAACTCCGAAAAAAAAAACAAAACAAACCAGCGTGAGGAAGGCTTCCAAATCGTTAGGAAATAAAATTAAACCAAGCCAAGGGTGCATACGCGAGGGCAAACCCAACAAAACGATGTAGTTAATGCACACCCTGGAAAGGCAACCGAGCAAACCCTCTGCTCCTTCGGGGTGCAGCTGAGCCGGAGCTGCCCAGCTGAGACTCAGACCCTGCTCATTAGTCACCCCAGCAGTGCTGCAATTAGGCTCATTAAAAATAATAAAAATAAATTAAAAAAGGATTTAAAAAAGTGGGGTGAAATAAGTAATTTCGGGGTAAAAAAAAAAAAAAAAAAAAGCAGTAATGGCATTTCTTATTCCCGCGGAATTAAGCCTCGCTGCAAGGCGCGCTCCTGCAGAGAAGTTACGGGGCAGCAGCTCCGCTCCGGCCGGAGTCACTCCGCAGGGAGCGCCCCGTCCGGGCTTCCCAAAACCCGTCTCCCGCAAGCG